CCTCGCTGAAAACATTCATCACCCACGCTTCACACCCATATAAGAGCGTTGGTAAAACTATACTCTCATACATTCCCCTCTTTGCCTCCAAGGACAAAGTTCTTTGTCTCCACAGACTCCTAAGTGCACCACTCACTCTTTTTCCCTCATCAATTCTATGATTCACCTCATCTTTCATAGACCCATCCGCTGACACGTCCACTCCCAAATATCTGAATACGTTCACCTCCTCCATACTCTCTCCCTCCAATCTGATATTCAATCTTTCATCACCCAATCTTTTTGTTATCCTCATAACCTTACTCTTTCCTGTATTTACCCTTTTAAATTTTCTTCTTTTGCACACCCTACCAAATTCCCCTCCACCCAAACTCTGCAGCTTCTCTTCAGAATCTCCCAAGAGCACAGTGTCATCAGCAAAGAGCAGCTGTGACAACTCCCACTTTGTGTGTGATTCTTATCTTTTAACCCACGCCTCTTGCCAAGACCCTCGCATTTACTTCCTTACAACCCCATCTATAAATATATTAAACAACCACGGTGACATCACACATCCTTGTCTAAGGGCCCACTTTTTACTGGAAAAAATTTCCCTCTTTTCCTACAACTCTAACTTGAGGGCCCCACTATCCCCCGTAAAAACTCTTCACTGCTTTCAGTAACCTAAACCCCCTATACCATGCACCTGCAACATCTGCTACATTGCACCCCTATCCACCCTGTCATATGCCTTTTCCAAATCCATAAATGCCTCAAAAACCTCTTTAGCCTTATCTAAATACTGTTCACCTATATGTTTCATTGTAAACACTTGGTCTACACACCTTTCCTAAAGCCTCCTTGTTCATCTGCTATCCTACTCTCTGTCTTACTCTTAATTCTTTCAATAATAACTCTACCATACACTTTACCAGGTACACTCAACAGACTTATTCCCTCACAAACTTCCCCCACAGACCGGGCCGCGGGGGCGTTGACCCCCGGAACTCTCTCCAGGTAAACTCCAGGTAAACACTCACAACTGGCTCTTCCTCACCCCTACAAGATGTTATCCCTCCTTGCCCTATACACGATATCACAGCTTCCCTATCTTCAACATTCAACAATTCCTCAAAGTATTCCCTCCATCTTCCCGATACCTGTAACTCTCCATTTAATAACTCTCCTCCCCTATTTTTAACTGACAAATCCATTTGTTCTCAAGGCTTCCTAAACTTGTTAATCTCACTCCAAATTTTTTTCTTATTTTCAACAAAATTTGTTGATAACATCTCACCCACTCTCTCATTTGCTCTCTTTTTACATTGCTTCACCACTCTCTTAACTTCTCTCTTTCTCTCCATATACTCTTCCCTCCGTGCATCACTTCTACTTTGTAAAAACCTCTCATACACTAACTTTTTCTCCCTTACTACTCTCTTTACATCATCATTCCACCAATCTCTCTTCTTCCCTCCCGCACCCACTTTCCTGTAACCACAAACTTCTGCTGAACAATCTTAACACTACATTTTTAAACCTACCCCATACATCTTCGACTCCATTGCTTATACTCTTACTAGCCCATCTATCTTCCAATAGTTGTTTATATCTTACCCTAACTGCCTCCTCTTTTAGTTTATAAACCTTCACCTCTCTCTTGCTTGATGCTTCTATTTTTCTTGTATCTCATCTACCTTTTACTCTCACTGTAGCTACAATTAAAAAGTGATCTGATATATCTGTGGCCCCTCTATAAACATGTACATCCTGAAGTCTACTCAACAGTCTTTTATCTACCAATGGATAGTCAACAAACTACTGTCATTACGCCCTACATCATATCTTGTAAATGTACTTATTTATCCTCTTTTTTTTAAAATATGTGTTACCTATAATTAAACCCCTTTCTTTACAAAGTTCAATCAAAGGGCTCCCATTATCACTTATACCTGGCACCCCAGATTTACCTATCACACCCTCTCTAAATGTTTCTCCTACTTTAGCATATAGGTCCCTTACCATAATTACTCTCTCACTTGGTTCAAAGGTTCGTATACATTCACTTAACATCTCCCATAATCTCTCTCTCTCTCCTCTACACTCCTCTCTTTTCCAGGTGCATCTAACCCTTATTTTAATCCACATAATCCTTGAATTTACACATTTATATTCCCTCTTCTCCTTCCATAACTGATCCTTCAACATTATTGCTACCCCTTCCTTAGCTCTAACTCTCTCAGATACTCTTGACTTAATCCCATTTATTTCTCCCCACCGAAACTCCCCTACACCCTTCAGCTTTCTTTCGCTTAGGGCCAAGACATCCAACTTCTTTTCATTCATAACATCAGCAATCATCTCTTTCTTGTCATCCGCATTACATCCACGCACATTCAAGGATCCCAGTTTTATAAAGTTTATTATTATTATTATTATTATTATTATTATTATTATTATTATTATTATTATTATTATTATTAGCAAATCACCTGCAGGAGGTTTACAGGACATCACCTGAATTATTACCTGCAAGCAATTTGGGTGAGGTAAGTGGCACTTAAGTCACAGTCGGTCACAGAACTGCAACTCCTTTGATTTCCCACTTCTACACCTCTTTCACAAAAAGCTAGACCTAACATTAAATTAATAACTACAGTATTAAAACCAGCCACTATGGTAATATTGAATTAGTAGACTGTATGAGATTAGATATGCTGAATGCACAAAAATATAACTATTAATACAAAGAACTTTATTTTACCGCTTACCATTTAATTAATGTAGATGGACAACACCACAACACCTGCCTAACTGTCTAGATCCTACATGTATGTAGTATAATGTTTGCCTGGACCTGGGTCCTGGCACGGGTCTTAGTCTTGCGATGACCTGTCTTAAATCCTACACTGGCCAGCTAGGTCTAAATACAAGGATTGGTGTATTCCCTTGTGAGGTGCGATGACGCTACATCATTCATTTTCCATTCTCACCGCCCTATTATGGTGGTTTCATAAATTCCCTGTCCCAATTCTTCAGCAGGGGACAACAAGAATTCCTATTATGAATTGAGGCTGATACACTTCAAGTCACTTGTTTTATCTAGGCTGGAATATTGATGCACACTAGCAACACCTTTCAAGGCAGGTGAAACTGCTGACCTAGAAAATGTACCGAGAACCTTCACGGCACCGAGAACCTTCACGGCACACACAACTGTGATAAAACACCTCAGTTACTGGGAACGCTTGAAGTTCCTCAACCTGTACTCCCTAGAATGCAAGCAGGAGAGATACATGATTATTTACACTTGGAAAATCCTAGAAGGATTAGTACCAAACTTGCACACGAAAATCACTCCCTATAAAAGCAAAAGACTCGGCAGACGATACAACATCCCCCCAATGAAAAGCCACTAGCACGATAAGAGACAACACAATAAGTGTCAGGGGCCCAAGACTGTTCAGCTGCCTCCCAGCATACATAAGGGGGATTACCAATATACCCCTGGCTGTCTTCAAGAAGGCTTTGGACACGCACCTGAAGTCAATACCTGACCAACTAGGCTGTGGTTCGTATGTTGGTTTTTGTGCAGCCAACAATAACAGCCTGGTTGATCAAGCCCTGATCCACCATGAGGCCTGGTCACAGACCGGGCCGCGAGGACGTTGACCCCGAAACCCTCTCCAGGTATAATCCAGGATATCAATCCATCCTCTTAATAACTATGTCACTGAGAGTTTACAGTCCATTTCAAATCGCTAGTGCTCCCTCACTTAGAATATTGCTCAGTGCTGATGGCTCATTCAAAGCATGAGAAATATCAGAGCTGGAACAAATACAGAGATTGTTTACGGCTCACATTGAGCCAGTAAAGCACCTAAATTACTGGAAACGCCTTCAAGTCTTGGACATGTACTCATTGGAGCGGAGGAGAGAGAGATACATGATAATATATACGTGGAAAGTACTAGAGGGCCTGGTCCCAAATCTGCATACTGCCATAACAACTTACTGGAGTGAGAGATATGGGAGGAAGTGTAAAATAAACCCAGTGAGGAGCAGGGGTGCAGTGGGGACAATAAGGGAACACTGTATCAACATCCGGGGTGCCAGACTATTCAACGTCTTACCAGAAAATATTAGAAGCACGGCTGGAACAAGTGTAGAAGCCTTCAAGAGGAAGCTGGACAAGTATCTTCACCAGGTGCCAGATCAACCAGGCTGTGATGGATATGTGGGGCAGTGGGCCTCCAGCAGCAACAGCCTGGTTGACCAGGCAAGCACCAGTCAAGCCTGGCCTATGGCCAGGCTCCGAGAGTAGTGAAACTCTCGAAACTCTTCAAAGGTAAATCAAAGATAATGTATTTAATTTAGATATAAAATAAGGACATAAGAAAGTACTGATTTGACAGTACTATTGCTGTGAGTAGTACAAAGTGCCATGTAGTGATATGGGAATGATTGGTTGTGAATATGCCATGTGTGGAGTGTGCCAAATATGTTACATTTTATTCGACCTTTATCACACAACTATTTGGCATTCCCTCATGACCAATGAACTGACAGTTCAGAGTGTAGCAGTTCTGGGGCCCCACTGCAGCACTTATTGTCCAGTTCAACCTGCCAGTCACGTGGAAGCCTGCTACTTCAGCCAAGGTGATGTAACTCTGGTTCACCTGAGTGAGTGGCAGACTGTAGGCACTGGTCATGACCACTCATGCTATGCGTGGCTCTTTACTGCACCATTTCACTTTTGACTTCTCTAGTCATTAGTATTGTGCAGTGTAAATATTGGTGATGGAATACAAGGGTAAAGAAATCTACCCCTGCTGTGTTTGCCTTGCTATTACTCTGCCCTACTGATTACCTTATTTTGATGACTTAATTACAGCCAGGTGCTATAGGCCTTTAGACTACCACTTGTGTTTGTAATACCCTGCATAGCATGGGCCAGACCTGCTGCACTGCTCTTCTGTACTTGTGCTCTGCAGGAAACTATATTGTTTGTTCACTTGCAGGTGTGTATGGGAGCAGTGTTGAGTCGACAAGTCACATGCCATCAGCACCACCCACACCGCCCACGGCAACAAGATGGGCATCATCGGGAGAGCTACCAGAGCCTGCCACACCACCCACTCCAGACCCAGCAGCAGAGGCTGAAAGGCTTACCATGTACCGTTGTATCATCTCCTCCATCGTGGAGTCTGAGACCATCTACCTGGAGTGTCTTGATGTTGTCCTGCAGGTGTGTTGTCAGTCCTCCTTGTTTAGTGTGCTCACCTATTTGTGATTACAGGGGGTAGACAGGGCAGGTGTCCCTATAATGAAGATTAAAAGTCCTGGCACCTTGGCTAGAACAATCCAGAATTAACCCACAAATTCGAAATGGTCCAGAACAGACTAAAACGTCATCTAGTTTTCATTCTCAGTTAGTTGGTTAGTTATGGATACTATTGTTATTGTAACTGTTGTAATTAAGTTTGTACTAATCAGTTAATAAATTAGACACAATTGCAACACTTGGGTATCTTTAATGAGGAAACGTTTCACCACACAGTCCATACTAATCAGTTAATTTTTCTGCAGTATATGAAAGCACTGAAGGCAACATTAACCACATCGCAGCCAGTAATATCCCCCGATGACTTCTCTACTGTGTTTTACCGCATCACAGAACTTCATGCAGCTCACAGTGACTTTCTCGATGGCCTCAAGGAACACTCAACTCAGTGGGACGGAACCAATACAATTGGCGAACTCTTCAGAGTATTAGTAAGAACATTCCTCTTAATATATTCTAGCTTTCTCTTGGTCATTGTAAAGTGTAATAGGCAAGTAATGTTCCATTAAGTCAGCTGTAATTTATCATTTTAGGATGCTGCTTTGTGGCGATCCGTTAAATTTTTAAGAGTATGGATAACCTACCATCACATTTTATAATGTGATATTTAATTCTTTCAGGGTCCCCAGGCCCTCTTAATTCTTTCAGGGTCCCCAGGCCCTCTTAATTCTTTCAGGGTCCCCAGGCCCTCTTAATTCTTTCAGGGTCCCCAGGCCCTCTTAATTCTTTCAGGGTCCCCAGGCCCTCTTAATTCTTTCAGGGTCCCCAGGCCCTCTTAATTCTTTCAGGGTCCCCAGGCCCTCTTAATTCTTTCAGGGTCCCCAGGCCCTCTTAATTCTTTCAGGGTCCCCACCCCTCAAGGAAGGTTCCTTGATGTTGGTGAGGGGCTCTTGATTTAGAGAATTGGATCTGTGCTCCAGTTCCCCGAATTAAGCCTGAATGCCTTCCACATCCCCCCCCCCAGGCGCTGTATAATCCTCCGGGTTTAGCGCTTCCCCCTTGATTATAATAATAATAATAATAATAATCAGGGTCCCCAGGCCCTCTTAATTCTTTCAGGGTCCCCAGGCCCTCTCCCAGACTTGTTCTCAGGGTCGCCCAAATCAAAAAAAAAAATTATTTTGTTTATGAAAAGATAGAGAATCTTTTCCCGATCATAATGACACCAAAAGTATGAAATTTGATGGAAAACTTACGGAATTATGCTCTCGCGAAGTTAGCGGTCTCGACGATGTTTATGCATCGGCGATATTGCCGATGCGTAAACATCGTCGAGACCGCTAACTGGAATTTCGGCCAATTCCAGTAAACTAGTCAACAAAAATCATAACTATTTCTCTAGAACTCCATTTTTTCTATCGAATGAGTACAAGAAACCACCCATTTACCGATTTCAACTATTCAATACAGTGGTCAGAATTTAGCAATTTTGCCAATTTCACACAAATTTCAAAAGATGCCAATTTCAAAATAGGGTCCAGAATAAACAAGAAAGAGTTCTGGCACTAAAAGAACATTTCCTCTGTTCATTAGTCACGTCCTTAGGCCCCTCTTACATTTATTTATTTATTTATTTATTTATTTATTTATTAATTTGAACATGATACAGTGAAGTACAAAAGAATACAGTAAAGTGCAGCATGCCAAAGCCACTTGTATGCATAGCATTACGGGAAGGCTTAAAATTAACTTAAGATTAACTAAGCAATGATATATTCAGTGGTACAAAAATTATTGTAAAACAGATAGAGAGAGAGAGAGAGAGAGAGAGAGAGATTTCGTTCGGATTTTTAACCCCGGAGGGTTAGCCACCCAGGATAACCCAAGAAAGTCAGTGCGTCATCGAGGACTGTCTAACTTATTTCCATTGGGGTCCTTAATCTTGTCCCCAGGATGCGACCCACACCAGTCGACTAACACCCAGGTACCTATTTGCTGCTAGGTGAACAGGACAATAGGTGTAAGGAAACGTGTCGGAATTTCCACCCACCGGGAATCGAACCCGGGCCCTCCGTGTGTGAAGCGGGAGCTTTAGCCACCAGACCACCAGTACAAATGAGTATTACAAAGACAGGTCATATGGTCATTTACTGTATTGCTGTGTAATCGGTAGAATGGAGTATTCTGTTAGGTAATGAGGTTAAATAGTAACAAAGTTTGATTGGGTCACATTCTTTTGCTTTCCACTTTGAATTTTTATTCTCACAAAAAATAGAAGATTTACTGTTATGCAGACTACTGCATTAGTGTAGAAATGGTATAAATAATATCGGTGCACTTGTGAAAGAATATTAGACTCACCAGTTGACATGTATTGGACGCTTAGCATGATTTGTTTACTTTTGAACTTTGGTAAAAATCGAACATTTCTGCTACTTTGAGCTCAATTTCAAGGTACTTTTCATTGTAAAAACCAGTCAAAATCATCTCAATTTCTGTAATATGTCTTCCATTCTATGAAATAAGACCAGGAAAACTAGAATACAACAATAAATACCATACGAAAATACAGTGCAAAGTCGCTGTTTTAATCCAAAAACACGGTCAAAGTGTTTTTTCTCATTACGCACTGTGCTGCAGGATTTTTTTTATACTACGCACACTGACCACATAGCCCCATTCTTTCATATGTAGGCCTACCAGCTTTCTCTCACTAGATTTGAGGGCACTAGAATTTAGGCGTACTAGTACGTCAAAAACCCTGGTGCATAAGCCGTACTAGTACGGCCAAAACCCTGAAAGGGTTAAGCCAGCAGAAGACCTCCATCAAATGGTCAGAGGCTTCACTAAGTGGGTCATCACATGACTTAAATTCCTATTTCTCCTGACAAAAAAATTAACACTACCCATAACTTATGTACAATAATTAATTAGTGTAGGCAATAAATAATATTTTAAAGTTATATTACAGATAAATTCCAAGTAGAAATCTTACCAGTGTGTGAGAGTATATAACCTTTTGGTCAACATATTCTACTCCCTCCTTTGTAAATAAATAGACCATCTCAACAGCTCTTTTTCTGCCCTCAGAATTATACCTATTCTACTACCACACAGTCTTTAAATTTCTGCACTCCTTATTCTCTCCATAAAAGAAAAACCACACATTGATCTCAAACATATCAACACAGCCTCTGGCCTCCTACATGCTGCAACATTTTAAAACCCAATCTTACACCTACATGAATGTTTTTGCCTCCATTGATAAACTTCTTTTTCACAGATCCCTCACTGTTCCACCTACTTTTTTTTTCCCCTTGTCTATTCTGTGATTCTCTTGATCTTTCATAGATTTATGTGCTGCAACATGCTATTCCTACATACTAAATACATTCACTTCCCTACTCCCTCCACTCAGATATCCAGTCTCTTACTGCTTAGATTTTTTTCTTTGCCCTCATCACTTTGCTTTTCTATTTTCACTTTTATCTTTTTTTTTTTGTACACACCACCAAACTTCTTCACCAACATTTGCAATTTCTCCTCAGAATCTCCCACAATCACTGTGTCATCAACAAAGAGTAACTCTGACAGCTCTCAGTTCATATTGGATTTGTTATGTTTTAAGCCGACACTTTTCTCAACGCTCCATCAATCACTTCTTTTACTACATCCTCAATAAATATATTAACCATGATGAATCACATATGCCAGTCTAAGGCCTACTTTTACTATAAAATAGTTTCTTTTTCTCTAATAAACCCTACACTGATCTTTACTTTCCTCATAAAACCTTTTACAGTTTTCAATAACCTACTGTACTGCCTATTGATATTCTACATACATATTTGCAAAACCTCCCACATTGCTTCTCTGTTCACCCTATCATATGCTTTCTTAAAATTCATAAATGCAGCAAACATCTCCTTAATTTTATTGCATACTTATATGCCTTTATTTTGGTGTATTCAGGCAAGTAAGCTGGATGTATATGCATCATTCCTACAAAACTACCCTCGTGCAGTGGAGACTGTGCGGCGGTGTAGCTCACAGAGTGCACAGTTTGCTGATATTACTCGCTCCATCAAGCTGCGCTCCCTCCAGGGACAAGCTCAGTCCCTGGAGGACCTCCTGCACAGACCTGTTGCCAGGGTGCAGAAGAATGCTCTAGTCCTCCATGTAAGTCTCAACTCCCTCTCCCACAATGAAGAATAAAAGTAACAATACAGTATCGTGGCTGCAACAATTCACAGTTAACCCACAAACTGGAGGTAAAATTAGAAGCAGTTTCAGTCTGTCCTGGATTTACTGACTATCCAGGATGAACTGAAACTGTTTAGTTTCATCTCCTATTTGTGAGTTAGTTGTGAACTTTAACACTTCAATATTTAAATTTCTCATAGTCTGGGTACTGCATGCACTTTATCATATATTATACAGTACTTCCTTATTATCTTTGTGGTTTTATGAAGAATTCTAAAACAACTGTCCCTCACTTTATGTGACAGATGTGCTACCAGTCAGTGGTCCATGAAGTGTAAAAACAAAGCTAAACCAGTGTAACTTGTAAAACAAGGATTCGTTGCAAGACTGAAAATTGTACATTTTGTGAATTGTCTGTTAAAAAACTTGTAATAGCTCTTCTCAATTGTTGTTCTTTCCATACTGATTTAGAATTACTGCATCAGTTTTGTAATTAATATTTGTCTACATGTAAACATAAAATTTATTACTCAGCTGGTTCTCAATAATTTATAATGTAGCTAAGACTTAAAAGGTTTACAATAACTTGTATTGTGGCTAAGACTTACCAGGTTTACAATAACTTGTAATGTGAACATTAAAATGGTATAAAATAATAACAGGTTGTTAGGTAAGACACATATGCAACAGTTAGGTATCTTTATTTCGAAATAAAGATACCTAACTGTTGCATATGTGTCTTACCTAACAACTTGTAATGTGGCTAAGACTCACTAGGTTTACAGTAACTTGTATTGTGGCCAAGACTTGCCAGGTTTACAATAACTTGTATTGTGGCTAAGACTTACCAGGTTTATAATAACTTGTATTGTGGCCAAGACTCACCAAGTTTACAGTAACTTGTAATGTGGCTAAGATTCACCAGGCTTACAGTAACTTGTATTGTGGCTAAGACTCCCCTGGTTCATAGCAAACCCAGTTTGGAGTATTATCAACTTGTAAGTGGACCAGAATCTCAAGTACAGTAGTTTACATATCCAGTTTCTTGGTATACTATACATGAACTGTTGCTGCCATGGTGTCATAACTTGCTATTCTTTCCTTACGTGGTGGTACACTTGCAGGACCTGCTCAAGTATACGCCTGAGTATCACCCTGATCATGAGACACTGCGGGAGGCCCTCAGACTCACCCAGAACTTCCTCACCCATCTCTCCATGATACACACCGAAGCCATGTTTCCTGCAAGTATCTCCCTTCATACACTACAACTTTTTTTGTTCGTGTCAGTATATTGCATGGTCAGTTTTTTTCAGGCCTACAGTATAGCACTATCCCAGGTTTAGCTAGCATCTTATTTCTGTTTTTTACCAAGATAGGGTGACCCATCTTATAGATATTTTAAATAATTATCTTTAAATAAAATAATTAACTGTTAAATTATTACTTTTTATGAAAAATAATTTAAGCTAAGTTTTGTATTATGTACAGTATATTTGCTGTTGTATATGTAGTAAACTACCAGACAGTAGTATGTCTGCTTGCCTGCTCATGGTTATGCATGTGTGTACTCACCTCTTGGAGTTCCAGTGGAAGGTATTTTATCTTATTTGAAAGAGAAAATATAATTTAGCTTCAATGCCTGCACTTTAAAGGGGGGTTTGGGATATTGGCAGTTTGGAAGGACATCTAAACTGTTCTGAGTGCCTCTTCAAAGGCAGTGATTATGTATAAGTGATGGTGAAAGTGTTGAATGATGAAAGTTTTTTCTTTCTTTTTGGGTCACCCTGCCTCAGTGGAAAACAGCTGATGTATTAAATTTTTTTTTTTTTTCAACAAGTCGGCCGTCTCCCACTGAGGCAGGGTGACCCAAAAAAGAAAGAAAATCCCCAAAAAGAAAATACTTTCATCATCATTCAACACTTTCACCACACTCACACATTATCACTGTTTTTGCAGAGGTGCTCAGAATACAACAGTTTAGAAGCATACACATATAAAGATACACAACATATCCCTCCAAACTGCCAATATCCCAAACCCCTCCTTTAAAGTGCAGGCACTGTACTTACCATTTCCAGGACTCAAGTCCGACTATATGAAAATATCCGGTTTCCCTGAATCCCTTCACTAAATATTACCCTGCTCACACTCCAACAGATCGTCAAGTCCCAAGTACCATTCGTCTCCATTCACTCCTATCTAACACACTCACGCACGCTTGCTGGAAGTCCAAGCCCCTTGCCCACAAAACCTCCTTTACCCCCTCTCTCCAACCCTTTCGAGGACGACCCCTACCCCGCCTTCCTTCCCCTATAGATTTATATGCTTTCCATGTCATTCTACTTTGATCCATTCTCTCTAAATGACCAAACCACCTCAACAACCCCTCTTCTGCCCTCTGACTAATACTTTTATTAACTCCACACCTTTTCCTAATTTCCACACTCCGAATTTTCTGCATAATATTTACACCACACATTGCCCTTAAACAGGACATCTCCACTGCCTCCAACCGTCTCCTCGCTGCTACATTTACCACCCAAGCTTCACACTCATATAAGAGTGTTGGTACTACTATACTTTCATACATTCCCTTCTTTGCCTCCATAGATAACGTTTTTTGACTCCACATATACCTCAACGCACCACTCACCTTTTTTCCCTCATCAATTCTATGATTAACTTCATCCTTCATAAATCCATCTGCCGACACGTCAACTCCCAAGTATCTGAAATCCTTCACTTCTTCCATACTCCTCCCCAATTTGATATCCAATTTTTCTTTATCTAAATCATTTGATACCCTCATCACCTTACTCTTTTCTATGTTCACTTTCAACTTTCTACCTTTACACACATTCCCAAACTCATCCACTAACCTTTGCAATTTTTCTTTAGAATCTCCCATAAGCACAGTATCATCAGCAAAAAGTAACTGTGTCAATTCACATTTTGAATTTGATTACCCAAAATTTAATCCCACCCCTCTCCTGAACACCCTAGCATTTACTTCCTTTACAACCCCATCTATAAATATATTAAACAACCATGGTGACATTACACATCCCTGTCTAAGACCTACTTTTACCTCCAGGAAGTAGTCTCCCTCTCTTCTACACACCCTAACCTGAGCCTCACTATCCTCATAAAAACTCTTTACAGCATTTAATAACTTACCACCTATTCCATATACTTGCAACATCTGCCACATTGCCCCTCTATCCACTCTATCATATTTTATTTTTTTTTTTTATTATCACACCGGCCGATTCCCACCAAGGCAGGGTGGCCCGAAAAAGAAAAACTTTCACCATCATTCACTCCATCACTGTCTTGCCAGAAGGGTGGTTTACACTACAGTTTTTAAACTGCAACATTAACACCCCTCCTTCAGAGTGCAGGCACTGTACTTCCCATCTCCAGGACTCAAGTCCGGCCTGCCGGTTTCCCTGAATCCCTTCATAAATGTTACTTTGCTCACACTCCAACAGCACGTCAAGTATTAAAAACCATTTGTCTCCATTCACTCCTATCAAACACGCTCACGCATGCCTGCTGGAAGTCCAAGCCCCTCGCACACAAAACCTCCTTTACCCCCTCCCTCCAACCCTTCCTAGGCCGACCCCTACCCCGCCTTCCTTCCACTACAGACTGATACACTCTTGAAGTCATTCTGTTTCGCTCCATTCTCTCTACATGTCCGAACCACCTCAACAACCCTTCCTCAGCCCTCTGGACAACAGTTTTGGTAATCCCGCACCTCCTCCTAACTTCCAAAACTACGAAATTTTCTGCATTATATTCACACCACACATTGCCCTCAGACATGACATCTCCACTGCCTCCAGCCTTCTCCTCGCTGCAACATTCATCACCCACGCTTCACACCCATATAAGAGCGTTGGTAAAACTATACTCTCATACATTCCCCTCTTTGCCTCCAAGGACAAAGTTCTTTGTCTCCACAGACTCCTAAGTGCACCACTCACTCTTTTTCCCTCATCAATTCTATGATTCACCTCATCTTTCATAGACCCATCCGCTGACACGTCCACTCCCAAATATCTGAATACGTTCACCTCCTCCATACTCTCTCCCTCCAATCTGATATTCAATCTTTCATCACCTAATCTTTTTGTTATCCTCATAACCTTACTCTTTCCTGTATTCACCTTTAATTTTTCTTCTTTTGCACACCCTACCAAATTCATCCACCAATCTCTGCAACTTCTCTTCAGAATCTCCCAAGAGCACAGTGTCATCAGCAAAGAGCAGCTGTGACAACTCCCACTTTGTGTGTGATTCTTTATCTTTTAACTCCACGCCTCTTGCCAAGACCCTCGCATTTACTTCTCTTACAACCCCATCTATAAATATATTAAACAACCACGGTGACATCACACATCCTTGTCTAAGGCCTACTTTTACTGGGAAAAAATTTCCCTCTTTCCTACATACTCTAACTTGAGCCTCACTATCCTCGTAAAAACTCTTCACTGCTTTCAGTAACCTACCTCCTACACCATACACTTGCAACATCTGCCACATTGCCCCCCTATCCACCCTGTCATACGCCTTTTCCAAATCCATAAATGCCACAAAGACCTCTTTAGCCTTATCTAAATACTGTTCACTTATATGTTTCACTGTAAACACCTGGTCCACACACCCCCTACCTTTCCTAAAGCCTCCTTGTTCATCTGCTATCCTATTCTCCGTCTTACTCTTAATTCTTTCAATTATAACTCTACCATACACTTTACCAGGTACACTCAACAGACTTATCCCCCTATAATTTTTGCACTCTCTTTTATCCCCTTTGCCTTTATACAAAGGAACTATGCATGCTCTCTGCCAATCCCTAGGTACCTTACCCTCTTCCATACATTTATTAAATAATTGCACCAACCACTCCAAAACTATATCCCCACCTGCTTTTAACATTTCTATCTTTATCCCATCAATCCCGGCTGCCTTACCCCTTTCATTTTACCTACTGCCTCACGAACTTCCCCCACACTCACAACTGGCTCTTCCTCACTCCTACAAGATGTTATTCCTCCTTGCCCTATACACGAAATCACAGCTTCCCTATCTTCATCAACATTTAACAATTCCTCAAAATATTCCTTCCATCTTCCCAATACCTCTAACTCTCCATTTAATAACTCTCCTCTCCTATTTTTAACTGACAAATCAATTTGTTCTCTAGGCTTTCTTAACTTGTTAATCTCACTCCAGAACTTTTTCTTATTTTCAACAAAATTTGTTGATAACATCTCACCCACTCTCTCATTTGCTCTCTATTTACATTGCTTCAGCACTCTCTTAACCTCTCTCTTTTTCTCCATATACTCTTCCCTCCTTGCATCACTTCTACTTTGTAAAAACTTCTCATATGCTAACTTTTTCTCCCTTACTACTCTCTTTACATCATCATTCCACCAATCGCTCCTCTTCCCTCCTGCACCCACTTTCCTGTAACCACAAACTTCTGCTGAACACTCTAACACTACATTTTTAAACCTACCCCATACCTCTTCGACCCCATTGCCTATGCTCTCATTAGCCCATCTATCCTCCAATAGCTGTTTATATCTTACCCTAACTGCCTCCTCTTTTAGTTTATAAACCTTCACCTCTCTCTTCCCTGATGCTTCTATTCTCCTTGTATCCCATCTACCTTTTACTCTCAGTGTAGCTACAACTAGAAAGTGATCTGATATATCTGTGGCCCCTCTATAAACATGTACATCCTGAAGTCTACTCAACAGTCTTTTATCTACCAATACATAATCCAACAAACTACTGTCATTTCGCCCTACATCATATCGTGTATACTTATTTATCCTCTTTTTCTTAAAATATGTATTACCTATAACTAAACCCCTTTCTATACAAAGTTCAATCAAAGGGCTCCCATTATCATTTACACCTGGCACCCCAAACTTACCTACCACACCCTCTCTAAAAGTTTCTCCTACTTTAGCATTCAAGTCCCCTACCACAATTACTCTCTCACTTGGTTCAAAGGCTCCTATACATTCACTTAACATCTCCAAAATCTCTCTCTCTCCTCTGCATTCCTCTCTTCTCCAGGTGCATACACGCTTATTATGACCCACTTCTCGCATCCAACCTTTACTTTAATCCACATAATTCTTGAATTTACACATTCATATTCTCTTTTCTCCTTCCATAACTGATCATTTAACATTACTGCTACCCCTTCCTTTGCTCT